AAGCTATGTCTATTTCGCTATATATATATATATATATACAAAAAGAAGCAATTGTATAATTCGTTGGCTCCTCTTCAGATTTGTATAATTTCGCTGGCAGGCCATTTGTATAAATTGTTGTTAGCCTCAAGTTTGTATCGTTGACAAAAATATTTGTATATCAAAAATCGCTCTCTCTTTCGCTTTATACAAACATAAATTATACATTATATTTGTATAATCTGTGTTTGTATAAAATGAGAAAGAGAGAAAGGCAAAAGAGAATTGGGCAGGGGAATAATTGTATTGTATAATCATAAGTGTATAAGACGAATATATATTTATTTGCATGTGTATATAGAATTTTCTTTCGCTTTATACAAACATAAATTATACATTATACAAAAATAAATTTTACATTATATTGTATAATTTGTGTTTCTATAAAATGAGAAAGAGAGAAAGGCAAAAGAGAACTGAGCAGGGGAATATTTTTATTGTATAATTGTAAGTGTATAGGACGAATATATATGTATTTGCATGTGTATATACAATTTTCTCTCGCTTTGTACAAACATAAATGCAATTTATACAATTCTGTTGTATAAAGTGAGAGAGGCGAGCACAAAGGGAGCGAGCGAGAAAGGGAGAGTGGCGCGCGAGAATTTGGAGGGAGAGAGGCGACTGATAAATGTTTGCTACGGGGCGCAATTAAATCAAACAATAGCTAGTCCATTTATTTTAGATTATAAGTTTGCCATTCTGTACAATTATCCCTTCTTAAAATTAGGGCCTACTTGACGAGAAGTACCAAATGGGCTTCTTATGGAATTATACATGTAATAAAATTGAGATAATTAGGTGAATAGACCAATTGATAAATTTAATTACCAAAAAAATGACCATTTCTAATGTAAATTGTGTCGAGCAAATTATATATTAAAAGATTCGAAACATCGAGAAGATTTCATATCTTTAATTTGAGACTCTTAAGATGTGATTTTGAATTGATTGAGATTGAATAGTCAGTATATTTTATGTATAGTCAGTGTATACTTCATGTATAGTTAAGTTATATTTAACTTTTTGATTGTATCATAATGTATAGTCAATGTATAGCTCATGTATATGTAAGTTATATTATATAGTCAGTGTATACTTTCTAAGACTTTGGCTAAGTTATATTGTATAGTCAGTGTATAATTTCTAAGACATTGGGTAAGTTATATTGTATACTTAGGGCTCGTTTGGTGTGAGGGATTAAAAATAATAGTGATGGGATAAAAAAAATTTATGTTGTTTGGTTGCCATGTTTGGGATAACTTATCCCACCATTTATATCATAGTGATGGGATAAGTTATCCCATATACATGGTGGGATAAGTTATCATAGGATAGCTAACCCCATGATAACTTATCCTGAGATAACTTGTTTCCAACCAAACGACCCCTAAAGTGTATACTTTTATGACTTTTAAATATATATCTTTTATTGTATAGTCAGTGTATAGTTAGTGTATACTTTATTGTATATATTTGAAACTATTCCAATAAAATTTTGGACAGTTAATTATGTAAAATGTCAACCCATAATATTTTGTATAACTTACATAAATCTCATAGTGTAAAGAGTAAATTACATCTTATTCCTACTTTTTTTCTAATTACAATAATCCCTTAAAATTTGTACCTTCCGGATACATAAGTCACCATCCGGATACATTAATTCTAATACAAGAAAAATCTTTCTGTTGCACTAAAAAAGGAAAAGAAATTGAAAATTAATTAAATCCCATAAATTACGCTTATGTTTCTTCTTACTCTCAATCATACAGAGGCAAATCCTAATAGAACGAAGAAATTCAAAATTTCAAATTGCTCCCCCCGTTCAACGAAGAAACCTTTCAGATTTGATTCAAAAACTTTTGTCGAAATTTTGGGTAAGCGAGGTGAGTTATGAAGGATACAAAAGTGATGAAATTGTTGTTGGACAAACAATATCCTTTTGAATCTTCAAGTTAATCGAAGATCCTTTCAATTTTGATTCAAGATTATCAAAAATTTTGAGATTCAAGATTCTTTCTTCTCCAAGTTCAACGAAGATCCTTTTTATTTGTTGAAAATTTTGAATCTCAAAATTTTTCTCTTAGTTTATTGAAGATCCTTTCAATTTTGAATCAAAATTGTCGAAAAAATTGAGAAGATACATCATGAATATCTTTGCTACTTAGATTTTACTATTTATGTATCTTGTTTAAATTAATAATTATTGTATTTATACTAGATACATTAAATAAATAATTATTGTCCATAAGATGTTAGATTTGAGATTGATACATTATTGTATGGTAGTTGCTATGTAATTGATACATTTAGTATAAATTCGAATTTACGTATCATATCTAAAAAATTAGTGCATGATACATTACTATTTATGTATATCGTTTAAATTGATAAGTATTGTATTTATACTAGATACATTAAATAAGTAATTATTGTCCATAAGATGTTAGATTTGAGATCGATACATTACCGTGTGACAGTTGCTATGTAATTGATACATTTAGTATAAATTCGAATTTATGTATCATAGCTAAAAAATTAGTGCATGACACATTACTATTTATGTATCTCGTTTAAATTGATAAGTATTTTATTGTTTGCCTGGAAAAATATTTATAACTTATATAATGTATTATTTTATAGTTGATATAATGTATCTGATACAATAAGGTTATGAAAGAAGGATGTATGTAAGCTGGAATAAAGTGTATCTATAAATGTATCACAATAAATAAGAATTAAGTTATCAATTAGATACATGAACAAACACAATCCATTAAAGAAATTTGATTATTGAAAACACCAGAAAAAAGAGGAAAATATTAGACTGTATGAAATTTTGGTGAAATTGAAACTAATATTATTATGAGAAAATTAAAAGATTAAATAATAATACAAGAATCCTAATTAGTTTCAATGAATGATTAGTTGTTAGAGTCCATAACCAACTCAAATTATGAAAAATATACAAATATTATATTCTTCTTTTTAATCAAACACCCAAGGTGAGTTTTATTAACCAAAAATAAAGAAATCAAATACAAATACCAAACCCAACAGTGATTTGGAAATAATAGAAAAACAAAACAACTACTAAACCAAAAAAAGAAAAAGAAGGAAAAAGACAAAATAATAAAAAAAGATGAGCAAAAACGTGTACAAATATTATATTAATTATTAACAAATAATAACAACTACTACTACTTTTTTTTTTTTTCCTAATTTACGTTTTAGTGTAAAAAAATTGAAGTTCACATAGTTTATTTTATTATAAATTTGGAGTATTTTTAAAAATAGGTAAAAGACTCATAAATATTCTTTTTAAACTTTTTTGTCTAAAAATATCTTTAACCTACGGAAAAGAGATTGATTTTGAATTTCAAACGTGAATGAGAAAATAACTATCAAGATTCTGTGACTAAAAATAAGGAGAGATTTGTGAAGTGAAATAAGGAAGGGATAAATGTTGGTTTTGGGAGTTAGAATTTATGTATCCAACTTTTGGGGGTTTGAAAGTAAAATAAGGGATTTTGGAAAATTTTAGAACTGGTAGGGAATAATGGCAATTATGAAAAAAAAAGATGTGTATATAGATAATTTATCCTAAAATTTACTTACCATATTTTTAGTACAATTTTCTAAAATTAAGCTAAAAAAGAGTAAGTAATCATACGAGACATAGCACCACGAAAACCATCCTAACAAGTCAATTCAATTTCATCCAACGACAATCATGCATCTAGCATAATCTTAGAATGGAAAATTTAGTTCCACATAGACATTTAGGAATCATAACAAAACATCTAAAGACAAATATAAAAATAATAAATATGGAGAAGAAAAAAAATAAAATCTCCGGCCTCCATGCCACGACGCATAACCCAATTTCCTATATTCCATTTTCATTATATAGGAAAAACCAATTTAAACTTAATATCAAAATGGATTCATAAGCTTATGAGTAACCCATTTGGCCATTCATGTAATACTCCCCTGTTTGGTCGTCTTTATTAAAAGTAGATGTTCCTTAATATGTCATTTCATAGATCCAATGCATAGATGAAACCATTTTTTTTATTTTAATCTTGAGAGTAATTAGCCTTGAAACTTGAAAGTATGCATTTGATCAATATAGAAAAATTAAGTAATTAATAATGTTTATTGATCAAATTAATTAATTAAAATAAATTAATTTGTGTTTATTGATTGAAAACTTAACTTGAGAACACAAAATAAGAGTACAATGCTAAACTTATCTATTTTCTTAAGGGGCATGAAACCTAAAATGATAACAATTAAATAGAAATGGGGAGTATAAATTCTTAATATATTGAAGTGTTATTAACTATATAAAAACTAAAATCACTCAACTAATAATTATAACATAAATGCAGAAAGATTATTAAATTTTTTTTTCTAACCATAAAATTACTCAACTTTCACTTAATTTTTTAAAATATTACACTCACCTTCTTTCCTTTGATTTTTTTGCCATGAAACTTTTTTAGATGATAATAAAAATTCTTCGCTGTTCCAAAATATCCTCTTGAAATTTATTTTTTGGAGTCATATTTTTATGGTTTTCATAAACTATTCAAGTCTTTTTAAAATTAAACACTATTTAAATGGAATATTTTTTTCAGTTTTGTATTTAGTTTCAAATTAAAAAAAAAAACACTTCTGATCTTTTGCCATCTGTGTCCAGCTAAGTAGGTGCTCTTGGTCACAAGGCCAGAAAATCAACATTTTTTATTGATCACACTATAAAGATGACGTGTATATGGTTAATACTATTCTATATATATATATATATATATATATAACTCTTAATATGGTGGAAGCTTGGACTAGTTCTAAGTCAATTCCTGTTAAGCATATTTCAATAAAATATATATCTGGATAACATATATAAAGTGCAGCCAGCAGGGGAACTTTTATTTTCTTCTTGTTGTTTGAACATGGAGAATCATGGTTAATAAAATATTTTGAATGAACTAAATGCATGCAAATGCACTTTGGAAAGTGTACAGGATATAAAAAATGAAAAGGCCAATCGAAAATGGTGAAGAACTAATCCAATAGTAATGAAAAGGCAAAGGAAACAGAGAACAACAATTTCATCTCTGGTTTGATCCTACTGCTGATTTTCACACCTATTCCATCACTTGGAATCCACAACGCATCATGTAAGTACTTAAAGATTCGAACTTTCTTCAAGTCTAAGACATTCTTTTGGGATAAATCTTGATTTGGGGTTCTCTTTTTTTTATTTTTATTGAACAGATTCTATGTGGATGGAACACCGATTAGAGAATACAAGAACAGTGAATCGATGGGAGTTTCATATCCGAAGAACCAAGCAATGAGGATATACTCAAGTCTTTGGAATGCAGATGATTGGGCTACAAGAGGAGGACTTGTCAAGACTGATTGGAGCCAAGCACCCTTTAGTGCTTCTTACAGAAACTTCAATGCCAATGCTTGTATTTCCAATTCTTCATCTTCTTGCAATTCCAATACTACAACTTCAACTAGCAATTCATGGTTGAATGAAGAGTTAGATAACACAAGTCAAGAGAGGCTCAAATGGGTGCAGAAGAATTATATGGTTTATAATTACTGCACTGATTCTAAACGATTTCCAGCAGATTGTGTTCAGAACAGCTAAGCATTTACAGTGAAAAATAGTGTATTCTTTTATTTATTGTACTGATTCTTTTATTGTCCTGCATCAACCAGAAGATGCATTAATATTGAGGATTAGAAACATCTTATTATTGTATTGACAATGAAATAGATATATTCTTTTATAGCTTAGTGTTTTGGATATGAAAAATTATGCTACTACAGCTCTTTTGCAAAGTACAAAAGAGGTGAATTGGCATCATTTTTAAAAGGCGGAATGACCTGAGAGAACCCTGCAGTTGACTTCGCTTGTCAATTGGATCCTTCTACTCACCATTTTGTCAAATGAACACTTAAACTCGAGAAAACTCTACATTTTAAACCCCTCTCACCTGATGTGGCATCAAAATGCCTTAGGTGGACAAAGTGTGTGATTGCACGTTTATTAAGCGCGTGGACAGACAATCTTTAGTTAAATTATAACTAAGATCAAAGAAAACTTTAAAAAAAGCAGAGGAGAAAAAGCTGAAAAAAATCAAAAGGGAAAACATAAACAACCTTTTGTCTTCCCTTGAAGAAAGGCGTCTATGGCCTCAATATCTGTCATTCCCACCATTATCTCTATCAGTATTTTTTTTCTCAATTTCTCCTATTTTTTCATCTATCCTCAGTAACAATAGAACACATGTCGCTAAAAATTTGTAAGGACACTAACGACACCCAAAATCCCTCTTCATCGCCTATTTAACTATCTTTGTTAATTACATTTTCTTCATGAAATCAGAAATACACATGTAAAAATACATTTTTTAAGAGGAACACAGGGATAAGAATTTATTTAGATTCCTCCAATTTGATCCACTAGCGTAATTACTTGATATTTTTTCTGAAGTTTTAGTTTAAACTCTACTCCATTTTATTTGAAATTAAAGAAACGGGAGACAAAAATACATATTTTTCTTGGTCGAGAAAGTCTATGGTTGTGGAGAAGGTGAGAGAGGTGGATGGGGGGGGGGGGGGGGGGAGAGAAGAAAATGGGATGGGAGAGACGAAGAACAGAAGGGGCGGTGGGGTGGATAGGGTTTTTTCCCCTTCTATTTTTTGTTTTTTTAAATATATATATTCATAATTTCTTATGTGTCATTATAAAATGACGTGGAATTCCTAGTGTAGGCAATTGTATCACACACACACTGAACAAATGAGAAAAGGTTTTAAAAAGTAGCGTTCCGCTGAGTTTAAATGTTCAGTTGGCAAGTGATGAGTAGCTAGAAGGGTTCAACGGACAAATAGAGTCAACTACAGGGGTACCTCAGGTCATTTCTCCTTTTTAAAATTCCTATCTAAATTGATGAGAAGGCGGGAGAAAAGTCAAAATATTTATACTTAATTATGTAATAATAGTTGTGTAATCAAATAACCCATTTGTAATTACCCGATAATTGATTATGACAAATAAACAAGTCGTTATAATTACTAAATTATATATTCCTTCCGTCTCATTTTACGTGAGATAGTTTGACTCGACACACAGTTTAAGAAAGAAAGGAAGACTTTTAAAACTTGTGGTTCAAAATGAATGATATAAATTTGTGTAACGGTAAATTATTTCATTAAGGGCAAAAAATACATTTTATAGTTAAATTGATAATACTTAATATATAAATGTGTCATTCTTTTTAAGACTGACTATAAAAAAGAAAGTAAATGACATAAATTAGAACGGATGGAGTAATTATATAAACATCGAATGAATAAAATGCACTTTGGAAAGTGTACATGATAAACAATGAAAATCCCAATCGAAAATGGTAAGAAACTGACCCAATCTAATTTCCTCCGTCACAAAATATTGTATCATTTATATGCCTTAATCAACAAATATCATATATTTAGTATAATATCAAATAATTCACTCTTAATTTTAAATAGAGATATGACACAAGTATTCTTAGATTATGACCGAAATTTCGGAGAGACACATAAATTTAACTAGAGTCCTATCACTCCGAATTCTTTTTTTTTGTATTTTTGTGCACCTTTTATGTTGACGTGACACCTTCAACCACCCAAGTTGACTGTGTTTGTACACATGCGTCTGCCATGCTTGTAAATGTTTCCTAAATTTTTATTTTTTTTCAAAATATTTTTATTTTCTTTATCATATTTTAAATTAAGTTAATACATATTTTCTTACCTTGTATCTAAACTTTTTTTTAACTTCATTCATTGTTTTTTTTTTCTTTTATTTACTCTTTTTATTTTCTTTGTCTTTCCTTTTGATTTGATTTCAAACATCTTGTATTTAAGATAAGTTAATTTCGTAGGGATAGCAAAATAAGTGAAGAATTCAAATTAAACATTAAAAAAATTAAAACGTTCAAATTAAAGGATACATTTTTTTAAAAAAAATAAGTATAATTTTTTTTTTTCTGCTTTCTGTTTTACTTTGAACCTTCCTCCTTATTTCCTCAAGCCTACCCCCACACGCTTGGGCTACTAAAGTGGGGTGGTATAAACCCTTATAAAACCCCATCTACCTATCCAATTCTAATTCATCCAACAAACTTTGAAATCTTAAGAATTAAACATGGCTTCTTCTTCTAAGTTAGTACTTGTAATGTGTTTTATGGTTAGTGCTTTTGGCATTGCAATTGGAAACACGTTAGATCAAGAATTTGAGATAACATGGGGTGATGGCAGAGCAAAGATACTCAACAATGGGGACCTCCTAACTCTCTCACTTGACAAAATCTCTGGCTCTGGTTTTCAATCCAAGAATGAATATCTCTTTGGTAAAATTGACATGCAGCTCAAACTTGTCTCCGGAAATTCTGCTGGCACTGTCACTGCTTATTATGTAATTCCCTTAATTTCATTTCTTATATGATTTTTGAGCTACGTTTTATTGAATTGCATTGAAATTGAACCTTTTTGTTTTTTGAAATTTATTGCAGTTGTCATCACAAGGACCAACACATGATGAGATAGATTTTGAATTCTTGGGAAATTTAAGTGGTGATCCTTATACTCTTCACACTAATGTATTTAGCCAAGGCAAAGGAAACAGAGAACAACAATTTCATCTCTGGTTTGATCCTACTGCTGATTTTCACACCTATTCCATCACTTGGAATCCACAACGCATCATGTAAGTACTTAAAGATTCGAACTTTCTTCAAGTCTAAGACATTCTTTTGGGATAAATCTTGATTTGGGGTTCTCTTTTTTTTATTTTTATTGAACAGATTCTATGTGGATGGAACACCGATTAGAGAATACAAGAACAGTGAATCGATGGGAGTTTCATATCCGAAGAACCAAGCAATGAGGATATACTCAAGTCTTTGGAATGCAGATGATTGGGCTACAAGAGGAGGACTTGTCAAGACTGATTGGAGCCAAGCACCCTTTAATGCTTCTTACAGAAACTTCAATGCCAATGCTTGTATTCCCAATTCTTCATCTTCTTGCAATTCCAATACTACAACTTCAACAAGCAATTCATGGTTGAATGAAGAGTTAGATAACACAAGTCAAGAGAGGCTCAAATGGGTGCAGAAAAATTACATGGTTTATAATTACTGCACTGATTCTAAGCGATTTCCACAAGGATTTCCAGCAGATTGTCTTCAGAATAACTGAACATTTATAGTGAAAAAATAGTGTACTCTCTTATATATTTTTGATCTTTAGAACTATTGTAATGATTCTTTTATTGTTTTGTACCCATCAGTAGAAGATGCAATAATTATTGAGGATTAGACACATCTTAGTTTTGTACTAAGTTTATATAAACAATGAAATAGATATTTTCTTTTATACTTCGTGTTTTGGATATGTTTTTTTTTCTTTTTAATCAAATTTGACCCAGTGGGCCAATTTTATTGATAAATATGTCGGAAGAATTTTCACATATAGCCACTAAAAATAGCCTAATTACTCTTCATAACTATAGTTTGATAATTACAATTTGTATCTACATGTTATATGAGGAGAGAGGCGAGCGAGAGAGGGCAAAGAGTGGGAAAGAGGTAAATTGTGTATATATATCGGTTAGATAATTGTATATTATACATATGTATTTGTATATATGGAAAGTGAGATTGGGAGAGGGGGGAGAGAGGCAAGCGAGATTGGGAGAGGGAGGAGAGAGGCGAGCAAGATTGGGAGAGGGAGGAGAGAGGCGAGCGAAATTCGGGTAAGAAATTCACACCTGACTGTGATAGCCCTCTCGATACCTTATTGGTGCTTTGTAACTAGTGACCGGTTTTCCGCCGCGTCAGCCTTTTCCCAGTGCGCGAAGCCCCAACGAAGAAGGTGTTAGTGCTTTATCATTGGATCAATAATGCTAATGAGAGGGAGGAGAGAGCGAGCGAGAGAGGGCAGAGAGTGGGAGAGGTGAATTGTATTAGTATATCAGTTAGATAATTGTATATTATACATATGTATTTGTATATTCTGGCGAATTATACATATACAAACGTGGAGAATTATACAAACTCGAAGTCAGCCCACGTAATTAATGTATAATGTTAGTTGTGAGTGATAATTATAACAAATTATAGCTATAATGAGTAATTAAATAATATAATTTTGCTTAACCACATAATTTTTCCTATATGGAAACAATAAAGTTGAAAAGGAGGTCCAAAAATGAATAGCCCAAAGCTTAAAAAATAGGGAAACTTTCGCATATAGCTATCATAATTAAATTAATTACTCTCATTAGCTAAACATAATTACTAATAGTAGCTATATTTAAGTTGCTACAGCGGTGATCGGCTGTGCAATTCTATTTTCTTCAAAGTTTTATACAAAATTGAATTCAAATTTTTGAAAGCTATGGCGGTGATCTCGGCTAGGAAAAGGTATAAAATTCCTTAATTCACGGAATATTAGCTCGTTAGACTTTCTTTCCAGTTATATCTTCTTCGTACAACCCAATTGATTTCATCCTCGTACATCCAATCGAATCTCGGCGGCAACTCAATTTTCTCAGCTAGAAACGTATATTGGATTTGCATTGACTCGTGTTTTTGA